ATAAGGCTTAACATTCTTAAACTTTATACACTTGACCATATGTGTGTGTGTGTGTTGCATTTAAACCTAATAAACATTAAAAAGACATTATTCTTGTTTCCAGAATCCATGCACACCTGAAGCAGGAATGGATTTTCAAAACCATTAACAATTGATATCCCTATTCGATTAATCAAGGATGAATATTACTAATCGGATTACTAACTGGATTACAAATCGCTTTCCTTTAAGAAGTACTTTAGTAAAATCTTTTAAACAAATTGTATCGAATAACTTAAGATGCCGTCTGGAAGCTAAGACCGATTGTGTTAGAAAATGCATTCGTCAATGACAGTGTATTTGTGTGTGGGGGGGGGGGGTGAAGTTGTCTCAGGGATGCATTCCCCTCTTTCGACATTTTGTTAAAAGTCGTGAAAAAGAAGTTTGAACAAGCATGTTTTGTACTATGTATCAATAGGTTTATAAAAAAAAAGTTGTTTCGTTTGTCGCGCAAACATAAATGGAAGAATATATGAAAGATGGGAAGAACACAAAGAGAAGTAGCATGCTAATTATGTACTTTGAATCAGATGAGTACTAAATAAAGATGATACCTATACTTTAATGATGTTTTTTTATTCAAAAAAATGAGAGGTAATGTATGAAGCTCAAGCAATATCTTATAAGAAAAAGTTCTATTTTTTAGATCTTCAATATGTTTTATATTTTGCACATGGGCCGCGAGTATATTCTCGAAATAAGTACGCTTGTGCATTTTACATTTCATAAAAATTTTAACTTCACAACTTCAATGTAGTTCTCGTAGATATAGCACTAACTTATTATTCACATTTTTTTAGCTAATTATTAATTCAAATTTGCGTCATACTCAACAATACTCAGTTTAATGCAAGACAATATATATAATCTTATCTTATTTTGTTCAATTAATTTATTCATTTTATAATCCGTTATTTTTATCAACCCGCAACCCTATTGAAAATAAAAAAATAAATAATCCATTATTTAGTTTATGACGAACTTGCTTCAATATTGAAAGAGAGCCAACTGGGTGTCGTGGTTGATTTGTCACTAACCTTCTGCATCTAAGGTTGTGGGTTCGACCCCGGCTCCAGTTGGAGGATTTTCATGATGCAGAAATTGACAGCAGCCATGTCGTATGATTATGCGGCATGTAAAATATCCCTTGAGTGACCTTTGTCTTGGGTGCTCTCCGCAAAAAAAAAAAAAAAATTCCTAAATGCAATTTTGCATTGTTAGAGCTCAGATGCTTCACTCTGGGAAGGAAGCTGGGCGTCAAAATTACTTGCGGTGATTGGTATCGCCAGTATGGTGCCGCACTAAAAAGTGATAGCAGCTCCTGGGGAATGAACTAGGCTTGCAAAGGTAAAAAATACCAATCCGCAGCCCAATTAGAGAAAAAAAATATTAGAAAGAGACACATGTGATACTTAGACAATATACTTAATAATTTTACTAAACCTTTGAATAACCAATATCAAAATAAACTGAAAATGTAACGCACACACACACAGTTTAACTTAACCCAACTTTATCAAAAAAGGACTTTCGCGAGATTTACTTACTAGCGATCTTAAAGAGTAGACTTCTAATAACGAAATTCAGTTCCTTAATTCAGACTCTTAATTTTTTTTGGTCAAGTTGCAACACTTATGTAACGCAGACTTCTATCCTTTTAACCAATTACCTTTTCTTCTATCTTTTATCTGTCCTTCCTCATCCTCATATTCATTAACAACACGTCTACTAAAATAGTAAAGGTCATTTGCATACATCACAGTTCCTTCACAAAATATTTCTCTTATATCAAATATCGTAGCAAAGCTGTTCAAGAGTTGATCAAAACACGCAAGAAAACTCTTTATAAAAAAGGAAACTTTACAACTAAAAAATTCATTTCCGCAGTTGAAAATAATCACTTAATAAAAACTGATTGTTGCATTCTTTGATAATTTTTTGCATTTTTGAATGATAAACACCAGCAGGTATACTTGTTCTTCGCACTGGCTTTGAAAAATTAAACAATAAAGCATGAAGTATAAAGAAGTCTTTAATGAGTTAATTTTACGTGAATCGCAAATTAAACAAAATAAAACAAAAAGCGTTTTGCATACCTCAGTTTTAAAAAGTCATGTTTGTTAAATTTTAAGTCTGTAGGTCTAATAGCTGATGAAAAGGAATTTTTTTTATTTATAACGCCCCCGTAACTCCTTTGGGGGTCACGTTTTGAAAACACCTTCCTAAGCTGATCTCTGCTCTTCAAAAGTAACATATTGCTATAAATTTTGTGTAATCAATGCTTAAAACAGAGTAAATAATTTATATCTGGATGTGTAATACGTTAATATTACTTTCCGTTAATTTATTTTATGTTAAAACTGTAACAATCGCAAGCAATGCCGTTCCTTACATTATAATGGCGATTCAATGGAAACATAACGAAATATTCGCATCATTTTTGGCGTCTATGTTGGCAACTAGGAGATTGATTGAACGGTGCAGAAGTTAATATGCTATAGCGCCACCTGGTGGGGAGTTGCAACAAAGAGCACAAAAAAATACATTACGTGCCAATTTTCATGGTGATCGGTTGAACGGTGTTGGAATGAAGCGAGGTCAAAAAACAAACATCCATTTATATATATATGGATAAATATGTTGAATATAATTTTTAAACTAAAAATTGGCAGTGATATATCTGAATTTGTATATGTGTGTTAGATGACATAGATCGAGATTTTGGGAATTAAATAAATAGTTTGATATATTTTTAAAAATTTAGACTTAAGAGAGGTTAATTAGTCTTTATGTTAACAGAAGTACCTTAACCTTAAAATATCTTAGAAGAAATACTTTACAGCAGAAAATAACAAAAAAAATTTTTTTTAATATTTGAATAATCTAGTAAATATATAAAGAAGATGAAATAATTATTTATGATATACTACGTTTACATATGATTCATAGGATATACGCCTTTATATGATTCATAAAAAATAATTTCATTAAGACCGTTTTAATCTCAATATAATGCAATATGCTTATTTTTTTAACAAGAATAAAATTCAACTTTTATTATTTCTAACACTATTTAAAGTAAATGTAAGGGGAAACATTACATATACATATATATAATTTATGTGAAAAAAAAACTATCTAGTTTGCTTGTTTCTTTTATTAAAAGAAACTATCAAAATAAGAATCGTGGGTTGTGTTCAGTAATTAGAAGGCAATAAAATATCTCATATTCACTTTGCTATACTTAAAAATAAATATATTTCTTAATCCCATTAAAATAATAACACTCATCCACTTAAGATTTTATAAGGCTTGCATTTTTTGTTACAAAAAAAAGCTCAAGTAATTTTTTAAAAATATAATTACATTAATTAACTAGTACAAATCTCCCCTTTTAACTTTAATCCCCTCCATCTTCACCAGATGGCACCAAGATGAAAAATGTACAATAATCAGTTTCTTTAAGTATTTATTTTTACTATTATTGATGTTGCTAATGTCACCTGATTTAACAGTGCCAGATCGAGACCCGCGAAATTCCTTGTGGCAAGGGGCTTGTTTGCACGCATGTCGCTAGCTGCAGCTTTGAGCACCATACAGGTGACAGTGCGATTTAGATCGGTTCCTCCCCCAATTTTGAGGGAAAGCACCCTGAGGTGGTGTGGGGCTTCCTACCTTTCTTTCGCCTCTACCAACCTCTAGAAAGTACTTACGACTCGACGTATATTTAAAGTACCCCATGTCTCACCGGCACTATACATTTACAAATATCCATGCTTTTTCCGGAATTCTTTCCCAAACTCTACAGTACAGCAGTCAGTGTCACTAACCACTGTACTGAAGGGGATATATAGAACGATACGATAGAAGATAAAACTGAATGAAACTAAATTGGGATTAGTTAATTTATTTTACAGTTATATATCTATATATGCACATATATATGTATGTGTGTGCAAAAGGCTAAAATTGAACAAAATTTGCTAAAAATTGAATTTCTTCTCTATACATATAGTTAGTATCGAATATTGTACATTTTCATAACAAGTCATTTTATTATAGTTTTCAGCATAATATATCACTTCCTTTCTTTTCCCAATTTTAAAATCTGTATCTACATTGTAAACTTGCTCAAAACCGAAGTAAGCTTCAAAGCAATATCTTACAACTTTTTACCCTTCATCAAACGTTTAAATTTGCTATTTCGTCCATACTCCAGCAAGTGAACATTCAAGCGGAATGTTCCATAATATTTACCCATCCTGCTACAGTAGCTTCCTTGCCGATTGGCAGCCCACACGTCACGGTATAAGCCCATTACGCAATGTAAATACAATGTAAAACTCGTCCCGCGGTGAAAAAAGCAATGAGGGATGACCAGTAAGTTCAAACAAATAATTTACTTAATAGCTAACCACTCTGGTCGATGGTCATCGCATGGCAAATGATAGGTCCGTCTATCACGCGAGGGGACGATCTGCCTGAGAAAGTTAGTGTGAGATAGACAAATTTGAACATAGACAGGGAGGGGTGGTAATTGAGAGCATTAATTCGAATTGAGTGAGTCCAGTAAATAATATTAGCTTTATCGATTGCCCCGATACACGTCACAGATCGTTGCAAGGATATTAAGCATCTTTGTTTGGAAAACAAAACTCAATTGCAGATAGTGGTTTGTGTTTTAGCAGTCTGCATTACTGAGGAAAATTTTTTAAACAAGTAATATAAAAAAATTCTTTTAAAGTCAATTCCTACTTAGGTCAAAAAAGAAAAATTTTATTTTAGTTACTTTTTATAAAATAATCACAATTAATATAAATATGTATATACATATGACAGAATCACAATATTAAGGGGCGAAATAGCAAGCAATTTTCCTTTATATATATGTGTGGTGCTGGACTATTATTTTTGTTTGTTACTATTTATTCATACATAAATCATATTCTCAAAAATTAGGCCATCCCAGGTAGGATTCGAACCTTTTGGATTAAAAGTCCAACGCGCTATCCATTGCGCTACAGGGACACAACAAGCGATTTCCTTTTTTATGTATGGTATTGGACTATTATTTTGTTACTATTTATTCATTAATTAAGTTTAAGTAATGAATTAATGTTTTTGAATAAACTGTATTGACATCAAGTGCCATCCATTACAAGTTTCAAAAAATGTATTTGAACTTGAATGGATGAATAGAAAGTATTTTAGTAAATACTGAAAATTTGAACAAGATATATATACTCATGGACACAAAAAAATTAGGGCACCAAGAAGGAGTCATCAAAATGAAACGAAATTTTATATATGTAATGACTACTTTGATACAAGTAAATGATTAGAAAATCAAAGAAAAAGGATCATTTATTTCAGAGAAAAGGACAAAAGAACGGGTGATTTAATATATCCTGTTGAACCTTCTCTAGAGCGAATGCACAATGCGATACGATCGGGAATTGAGGCATACAATTCTGTATGATGTATTGAGACATTTCGTTCCATGTTTGATGTAACCTTGCCTCTAGTTCGTTCAATCTCGTGGAATGCCCAACTCGCCGTCCCAAATGATCCCAGATATGCTCGATTGGAGACAAATGTGGGATCAGGCAGGCCAAGGAAGGGTAGTAACATTGCCGAGACAGTCTTGTGACACCTTGCCGTGTGAGGCTGAGCATTGTCTAGTTGAAAAATGGCTCCTGGGAGCCGTTGCATGAGTGGTAACACATGTGTTTGCAGGATGTCATGTGTCATGGACATACCGCTGGGCTGTCATGGTGCCACGGATCAATACTAGAGGTGACCGTGTATTGTAGGCAATCGCACCCCATGCCATCACACCAGCTGTGGGAGCAGTGTGTCGCTGTAAAGCAAAGGCAGGATTGAGGCGTTCTCCACGGGGTCTCCACACACGAACACGATTGTCATCATTGATGAGATTGAATCTGGATTCATTCGCTAAAGACAACCTGGTTCCATTCCTATGCAGTCCAGTTTCCACGTGCGCGGCACCACTCCAAACGGAGGCGTCGATGGGTGGGCGTCAAGAGCAGCACACGTAATAGGCACCGTGATCCCAAATGTCCTTCAGCCAGGCGCCTTCGTATGGTTCGAGAAGACACAGGGGACCCTAATGAAGGTGCTACCTCTGCCTGGATGGCGGCCAAAGAAGCAGTTGGCAGTACGCGTTTATTTCTTATGATGTGGCGCCTTTTCGACGACTGGTCTGTCGAGGGCGTTCTGAGCCTGGTCTTCGTGTAAATGACATCTCTCGGATCCACTGGTCCCAACACCTCCTCACAACACAATCAGATCGGCCTAATTGGCGAGCTACTCATCTAACTGACCCCCCCCCCCCTCCGCTTCCATCATGCCATCATCCCCCTGTCAAACTGCGACAGCTGCTCATTTTGTCTTCGAAAACGGCGTAATGGTATGTCTACCTCAGCTCTTCTTTGTAAACGATTTAGCGCACTCAGACTCCACGGAGAATGACGTTAAACGCCTTCTACCGGCCATACGTAATGCGCAATCACGCTGCATTTCTAATCATTTCCCCGACATGTACCTTTATGCCAAGTTTCATTACGATCCCGCAATTATTTCTTGGTGCGCTAATTTTTTTTGTCCATGTGAGTGTGTGTGTATATATATATTCACACTTTTTTTTTGTAAATGAATATCTATTTATTTTATATATCTTACCCATCAAAAAGAAATCTACAAGGAAAGCAATTTAAAAAACATTATTCCGAAATACACTACATTTTTTCAACTTTAAAAAAAAAATTTTAATAAATCGATGATTTTTTAATGACATTTATATAATTTTAAGGCTACGAGTAATTTTAAACTTACATTATTTCATAATCAGTAATTTTACGCATGCATTACATCAAGCGTCCTTAAAGAAATTCGTTATTACTAATAAAATCTGTTAATTCTATTTGAGTTTTTTGTATGAAAAATTATGATTTTATTGCTATAGGGGAGTTGGACACCTGGTAAAACCAATTCAAAGTCGTTGATGGCCTAAAAATGCGTCAAAAGAGGGAATAACTTGAAATGTCCAAAAACAATTTAAAATTAAGGGAAGAAAAAATCGAATCGCAAAAAAAAAGTTCGTTAAAGAGAAAATACACTTCACTATTTGGAAATTATTTTGTGAAGAAAATGGTAAAATGTTTTTGGTGGTTCCAATGAAAAGGTTCGTAAAATGGAGGGTTCGATTGTATTTCTAAGTATTAGATACGTTCATTTTTTTTTTCAAAAACAAAAATAAGAGATTGTCATTTAGTCACGCAAGTCTATTTCATACTGATAACAATACATTGCAAAATGTTTAGATTTTTAAAATTTGACTTGTTAATGCTTTGTAAAACAATTATAAATATAAATATACTAGCCGTTACCCACCCGCTTCGCTGAGTATTTCATGATGTTTTATAAATTTATACTGTTTATATATATATATATATATATATATATATATATATATATATGTAATGACTTCTTCTAACTTTCCTTAACTGTACCCCGTGAAATTATTTCCTAGTTCTTTCGCCTAAGACTGTTATAATCTTAATCTAATTGTACGAGCGCATAATCTTAATCTAATTGCACGCGCGCATAACCTTAATCTAATTGTTCCCCCGCATTTGCAGCCAATCACGACTCCTGTTATAAAAGAGTCGTACGACCTTCTCCGCCAGTATAAAAACTGAACACACGATTACGCGTTTCTTCTCTTTTTGTGCTTTTGTCTGTTTTGTCGACTATGTGTCCGTGTCGCTGCTAAGTGTTACTTCTGCTTTGTGTGTGTGTGAAACTCCGTAAATTATGTTAATGTGACTGCCCTTGCTTTTGGGTGATGTTCAAAAAACGAAAAATGAAACCTACAGTGGAGCAGTATTATTTCAAGACATAGCTATCCCTCGATCAAATCTACCTATAAAAACCAACACCAGCCACGATGTGAAAAATCATTTACCAAATCGGTCAGCTTCCATTATATAATATATAAAAATATATATAATATATATATATATATATATATATGGAAGAAATTTATATAAAATATAGAACATAACAGGAAAAAAAAATTAAGATCAAATCTAATGAAATGCAAATAAGAACCTAGCGAGTCAAAATGCAATTTCGGACTTAGGACCGAATAAGTGGGGTTAAACTAGTTTGAAGGCGCCAACCTTCCCCCTTTGCAACTCGGTAGGAAAGACCAAAATAAAATTATATATATATATATATATATATATATAAATTATTGATATATTAGTCCTAGCAATAATAATTAGATTGTATTGAAAAATATACATATACCTGTAACTGGCGCCTCTTGATAAAAAAAAAGGGGGGCAGAACTCATCTAATTTGTATTTTCTAAAAATCTCTAAAATTGAAGTATAGCATAATGTTTGCTCTTTCGTAACCCTATAACCAAATGGATTCGCGCAAAACCAATTTTCGGTGGATTTCTACTCCATAAGTTGAACATGTAAGTCAAATTTCAAGTCTAAATCTAACAGAAAAAAAAACGAAAGTTTTATTATCAATATCCCCGTAATCCCGTTGAGAGCCGTTTGTAAAATAACCACTCTTAGCGGATTTCAATTCAACAAAAGAAAAATGCAAACCAAATTTCATTATTATAGTCCTTGTAGTTCTAAAAAAGAATTTTTTTTGTCAATATGTCCCAGTAACCCCCTGCACCCCACAGGAGTTGATTTCCGTAAAATACATTCTTAGTGGATCCCTATTCAAAAAAAGAAACATGCTTAACAAATTTCAAGTATATAGGTCTAACAACTAAAAACAGGAATTTTTTTCTATAACTCCTCTTGACCCCTCGCAACCCTCCTTAGGGTCAATTTTCGTTTTACTCTTTGTTAGAGGAACTCTATTCCATGAAAGGAACATGCCTACCAATTTTCAAGCAGGAACATCTAATAGTTTAAAAATGAAAGTATTTATCGATTACGCCCCTTAATCTCCTGAAATTAAACTTGGTAGTTGATATTCGCGAAACCCATTTTGTAGCGGTTCTCTACTTTACGAAAGGAATCTGCTTATCAAATTTCAGGACTGTACGTCTAATAGTTTAAAAATAGGGATAATTATCTATAACGCCACTTGAGCCCCCGCAACGCCACTTGGGGGGGTCTGTTTTCACAAAAAAAATTTTGTAGGGGAACTGCACTCTACAAAAGTAATCTGCTTACTAAATTTGAAGACAGTGCGTCCAAAAAATTAAAAATGCAAAAATTTAACAATAACGCCCCTTGAGCCCCGCAACGCCACCTAAAGGTCGATTTTCACAAAACACATTATATAGGGGATCTTTAATCCATGAAAGGATTCTGATTATCATATTTCAAGACTGTACATCCAGTAGCTCAAAAATGGAAATAATTATCAATAACGCCCCACAACACCATTTGGGAATAGATTTTCACGAAACACATTTTGCTGTGTAGCTCTATTCTATGAGAGGAATCTGCTTACCAAATTTCAAGACAGTGCGTCTAATAGTTTAAAAATAGAAATAATTATTTCTATCTGCCCTTAACCCCCCGCAACACCCCTTGGGGGTCAATTTTCCCCAAACACCTTTTGTAGCGGATATTTACGCCATAAAAGAAACATTCCTACCAATTTTCAAGCAGGTAGGTCAAGTAGTTTAAAAAAGAAAATTACGCAACTTAATCCCCACAATGCCACTTTGGACTGTTTTCAAAAAAACCCATCTTATAGCTGATCTCTACTCTATGAAAGAAATCTATTTAACAAATATAAAGACTGTACGTCTAATAGCTTAAAAAATGGAATTTATAACGCCCCTTAACCCCCCTTCCCCGCAACACCCCTTTGAGTCAATTTTCCCAAAATCCATTTTGAAGCGGATATTTATTCCACGAAAGAAACTTGCCTTCCAATTTTCAAGCAGGTAGGTGAAGTAGTTTAAAAACAAATATATTTATCTATTACGCCCCTTAATTCCCCGCAACGCCACTTAG